CTGGAGCAGTCTGTTCCTGAAGGACTGCACCCTGTGGAAGGGACCCCCGCTGGAGCAGTTCGTGAAGGACTCACGTTGGAGAAGTTCGTGGATGACCGTCTCCCGTGGGAGGGACCCCACGCTGGAGCAGGGGAAGAGTGTGAGGAGTCCTCCCCCTGAGGAGGAAGGAGCGACAGAGACAACGTGTGATGAACTGACCGCAACCCCCATTCCCCGTCCCCCTGTGCTGCTCAGGGGAAGGAGGTAGAGAAAATCGGGAGTAAAGTTAAGCCCAGGAAGAAGGGAGGGGTGGGGGAAGATGTTTTTAAGATTTGGTTTTATTTCTCATTATCCTACTCTGATTTGATTGGTAATAAATTAAATTAATTTTTCCCAAGTTGAGTCTGTTTTGCCCGTGACGGTAATTGGTGAGTGATCTCTCCCTGTCCTTATCTCGACCCACAAGCCTTTAGTTATATTTTCTCTCCCCTGTCCAGCTGAGGAGGGGGTCAACCCCCCACACCTTGTAAATAGGACATCCCTGCCTAGCTCCAGCCAAGGGCAGCCCAGGGAATAGCAGCTTATTTTGGACACCAGCACCCCCAGCCTTTTAAGCCTTCAGAGAAGTACCAAGACAGCAAGTTCAACACATCTTTGAGGATCCCAGAAGGGCCAGAGGAAGGAGGCAGACCCATGGTAGCCTGCCTCACTTCGGGAAGGCATGAGCCTCCCATATCTGTTAGCTCAGGAGCAAAGGGGTTGAAAGGACCCAAATCCAAGCCCCGCCTTGATTCCCATCCCCAACCAAACACACTTGGGAAAACAGAAATTAATCTCATTTCTGAAAGTAAAGCCACAACACTTAAGGAGATGACTATCACCTGGTTAACCTGAAAAACACACCTGACTCAAGCTTATCTACAGAGAGGTCCCCAAAACACCCAGCACAGGCTCTGTGGGACACAGCAGCCAGCCCCAGCACCCTGCCCAAGCATCCCCCGGGCATCAGGGCCACTTGGCACTCCTCCAGCACCCGTCAGCCCCCCCACAGCCCCCCGAAGCACTGCCTGTTTTACCTCTCAAAGCTCTCATGCACTTTGACAATTTTTTTTTTTAACCAAGAATCCCGGGCTCACCACTGCTGTCACTCCCCCACGCACACCAGGCAGCCTCCTCTGGAAGGGCTCGTTGCCAACTGGAGAGCAGGATCCATCTCAGAGTTCCCCCAGCAACAGCTGATGACATCACTAAAGCTCAGCAATGCTTTGAGTGTCAGTGATGTCATTAGCTATCACCATGGAGATGGCAAAGGGAGGACTTGGGGAGCAGTGCCTCCAAGGGCCAACATCTGCAGGGGGCAAAGCGCTGCGTGGGCCAAGTGACCCCCAGGGTGACTGATGAGGGGGGGCCGTGCCAGCCCAGGGCAGTGCCTCAGTGTCCCCTGCCCAGAGATCAGCCTACTTGGGGGAAAGGCAGGACCCCAGCTGCAGGCTGCTGCTCCAGCAGCCTCTGGCTCTGCAGCCGCACCCCAAAAGGGGATCCCTCAGGGCCAGCCCCACGCAGAGGCAGAAGGGCACTTTGCAAGGCCTGACGCCACGGGTGAAGGGCACTGGTTTAGCAGATGCTCCCAGAGCAAATTAACTCCCCTAGCCCAGAAGCGGGCAAACGCTGAGCTCCTGCTGGCTGCAGCAGAGCTTGGCCATCCAAGGATTGCCGTGGGACCCCAGCAACTGGGAGGGTCCCTGCCTGCACCCTGCAGCACCCCAGAAACACTCCCAGGAGGTCCACAGGGTGCCCTGGGGTAGAGGAGAGCTGCTGGGAGGGGAGAAGAGGAAGCAGGCAAGTCCCGAGAGCTGCAAACTTTGGGAGCGGGCTTGAAAGGATGTTTCCTCCCCGCTCCTCCTCTTCCTCCTCCAGGAGAAGCAGTCTGGAGCGGCTGTCAACCCTGCACGGCCCCGGCCCAGCATGGAGGGGAGCGCAGGGCAGGGGAACCTCTTAGCTGGCTGGCGGGAGGGGGACACGCCGCCCTACCCCGCTGGGCATTCGCCCTCACACTCATCATCACCATCACGGGTGAAATCCTGGGCAAGAGCTCGGTCATCGCCTCCGTCCTCAAGAACAAGAAGCTGCGGAAGGCAGGTGAGCAGCCCGGCTCCCCATGCTGGGAGGGAGGGATGCCCCGGGACCGGGTACCCAGTGCATCAGCCTTGCGGATGCCGCAGCCGGGCAGCAATGTGCGGTGTGCTGCTGGCTGCACCCAGCCGAGCCCAAACTCGAGTTCATCTCTTAGGATATGCACATGTGAAATCAGCCATAACCTTTGGACTCCCACTGCTGCCTCTTCATCATCATGCTTGGTCCTTTCCTAGCACCAAATGGCACAGCACAGAGCCTGCATTTCACTCACCTGTAACTCCCAGGAAGTTATCGGAGTGGGAGCAGGGAGGAGGGGGAGGCGGGGAAAGCAGCCACAAGCATTGCCTGCCTTTCCTTTCCCAGCTCCGCATCTCCCACTAGCTGGTGTTCTTGCCCTGAAGTTATCCCCAGTAAGGATTGCCAGTTCCTCAACTCAAGCCCAGATCTGTCCTGCGGCTCATGTACTCACGTGAGAACAACCCAGCATTGCTGATCAGCTGCGGCTTGTTGGATTCGATTCTATTGCAGCCCCAGTTCAGAGACTCCAAATCCTGGCTCCTCTTTACATGCCTTCAACCGATCCCTTATACATTGCACCCCACATTCTCCTGCCTCTCCTGTCTTCTGTGACTCTTAATAGTGACACAGTCACACACCCTGCAAGCATTCACACACCAGGCACAAGTGGCACCAGCTACTCCCACAGACCGTGCAAACAGCAAACCTTCGCTGTGCCATACCTGGTGGCACATAAAATTTGGGTCATCCTTCAACTTCTGGCCTTTTGGTGAATGCAATGCCACCAACAGTCCAGAGAGAGCTTGCTTTTTGGTATTTGCTTACAAAAGGAAAAAAAAAAAAATATATGCATACATACACATACTTATATTTACACACACACACCCCCCTACATGAAGTAGAACATAGTTCTGGGGTTAACCCGAGAGGGGACGGATCTGTGGTCCAAAGATGTTGTGAATTCACACTGATTGCAGCCAGGACGTAAGCACCTTCCTTGCTTTTTAATAAAAAGCAGGTTCACTCTTCTCTTCAAAAAGAGACACCAACTGTGAAAGTTTCAGGTGAAATTACTTCATCCTAGATTTAGCAGACAGAGCCCAGCATCCCACTTCTCACCCCTCTTCCTCACTGGTAGCCAAACTCTGCTTTGCATCAGCCGCAACACGGGGCAGCACCCTTCTGCCACATCTGCTACTGCAAGTTTAGGGTCAGAACAAGGTATGTGGGAAGACGAGAGAAAGCCCCTTATCCTGGGTACCATTACAGTTTACTGTAACACTGGAGCAGCTCTGTGTAGCCAGAGATAGCTGCATTACAACCATTAGTTATAACTTCTTCCCTCTCTCTTCCCCTGCAGGCAATGCCTTTGTGCTGAGCTTGGCTATTGCAGATTTGCTGGCGGCTTTCTATCCATACCCACTCATCCTGATGGCTATTTTCCACGGTGGCTGGATGATGGGCTACCTCCACTGCCAGACCAGTGGCTTCCTGATGGGTATGAGGGCCATTGGCTCGATCTTCAATATCACCAGCATTGCTATCAACCGCTACTGCTACATCTGCCACAGCCTGAAGTGTGTCAGGCTTTTCTCCAGTACCAACGCCCTGTGCTACGTGGGACTGGTCTGAGTGCTCACTTTGCTGGCCATCGTGCCAAACCTCCTTGTAGAGCCCCTGCAATATGACTCCCGTGTGTACTCCTGCACCTTTGCCCAGTCCGTCAGTGCCCTGTACACCATCGTTTTGGTGATGGCCCACTTCTTCTTACCCATCCCTATTGTCAGCTACTGCTACCTGAAGATACAGGTGCTTGTCATCCAGGTATGGCGCAGGGTGAAGCCCAACATCCACTCCAAAATGAAGCCCCATGATTCCCAGAACCTCTTTAACCAGGTTTGTGGTCTTTGTACTCTTCGCTGTATGTTGGGCACTATTAAACTTCATTGGCTTTGCAGTGGCTGTGAAACCATCCTTGGGTTCCTTGATCCCCGAATGGCTCTTCACCTCCAGCTATTTCATGGCATACTTTAACAGCTGCCTGAATGCGGTGATTTATGGGGCCATGAACCAGAACTTCAGGAAGGAGTACAAGAGGATCATGCTGACTGTGTTCCAGCTGGCATACAGGACTGATGGAGGCTAATCCCAGAGGACTGAGCCTGGAGGGAAAGGTGACGCCATCTAAGCGCATGCAGCTAGACACACCAATCCTTTGCTTCCTTATCAGGGATGTACAAACAGAGCATAGCCAGAGCTAAGGGAGGAGAGTGAACAACGCATCTCCACCAAAACATGGTTCACACCAGGAGCAGCTCAGGCCACCATGTGTCACAGTGCTCTGTTGGAGGGGGATGTTGAGGACGGCAGAGCAAGCAACCTGCAGAAGGGTTCAGCCAATCATCTGAACCCTTAAGGATTTTCTTTCCACCTTCATTTCTCTGTTATTCATCAAGTCTTTAAGACCTTAAGAGCATTTATGGACAATTATGCACCTCAGAGAAGACTAGACCCTGTGAGCCTTGGGTTAAGCATTAGGAGCACGCACTCCTGAAGAGATCACAGAGCTGCCTTGTTCTTTGCTTTACCCTCGCCTCTGCCAATACCTGAGAAAGAAGAAATGTCCAAGTCCCACTCAGCCCCTTGGTTATGTGGTGATGGAGGGTCGGTGTTGGTACAATGGATCCCTGGACAGCAGAGAGGGGAGGTATGGAACAACCTGTCAGCTCTATCCTTCCGATAGCAGAGGGCTGTCCAGCAATAGGAACCCCTCCACTTGTATTTGCAACAAGTTCATAAGATAAACGTATGAGGCTGCTCTCCTCTTAGCCCTCATATGCTCCAGACTGCTTATTCCCACCTCTCTCTGCCTCCAGCCATGAGTTGTGCATGCACCTGCGACCACAAAGGAAGGTAGGTTTTACACCACCTTTTGAATGTATTTCATGGCCAGGAATCATAAGTGAGCCTAAGCCACAGCTGGCCTGCAAAGAGATCCATGTGTCATTTTGAAAAAGCTCCCTTCTAATCCTGTACTCTCTGGTCTTCTGCAGCAGAAGCACGACCACAAGGAAACGGGAGGTTGTAAGCACAAAATCCAGTTTGCAGGATGGAACAAGGTATTTTGACCCCAGGTAACCTGCCCCAACCCTCTTTGCTGTCCTTTCCCGTCGCTATTGCAGCCTGCTCGCCCTGCAGCACAACACCAAGCCTCATGTTCAGCTGGTGGCAGCAGCTAGGAGGGCGAGACACCTCTTCCAAGGTCCTCAGAGAATCATGCAGGACAGAGCACCTTCTTGCCTTTCCCTTACCACACTTTGCCCGGAGATGCATATTTGTTGGCTGCACATGAGCATCCAGCAGTTATGCCATCACCCAGATGGCAATGGAGAAATCATAGCAAAACACTCAGTTATTCAACAGCCCTGTCGGGAAGATGCCAGCATGCTACGCTAGAGCGAGGGAGTAGCACGTTGGTGGATATCAGCCCATCCTGTGTGTCTGTAAGTGTATCATACAGCAGTTGAAAGGAAATAGAATCATAGAATCATTGAGGTTGGAAAAGACCTCTAAGATCATCGAGTCCAACCGTCAACCCAACACCACCATGCCCACTAAACCATGTCCCTAAGCACCTCATCTACACGTCTTCTAAATACCTCCAGGGATGGGGACTCAACCACTTCCCTGGGCAGCCTGTTCCAATGTTTCACCACTCTTTCAGTAAAGAAATTTTTCCTCACGTCCAATCTAAACCTCCCCTGGCGCAACTTGAGGCCATTTCCTCTCGTCCTATCGCTTGTTCCTTGGGAGAAGAGACCAACCCCCACCACGCTACAACCTCCTGTCAGTTAGTTGAAGAGAGCG